AAATGACTGAAACAAAAAACAAAAGAACACTGCTGCTTCCCGTGTGCAGATGAGAAAGTCCAGTGTCCACAGGGAAAGTTTTATGGGGACACAGCCGGGCCCGCTGTTCACAGGCGCCTGTGGTGGCTTTTGAACCGTAACCACAGAATCGAGCAGCTACAATGTAGACCTGTGACCTGCGGAGCCGGAAGTCTTTTCTAACTGTTTCTACCTGGGCCTCCACAGGAGAGGCCGGCCGACCTGCCAGCGTCCTGTAGCACTGGGAGGGCACTGGCCCTTCTGGTCTGTCACAAGGCACCTGGGGACTTGGAGTGGTCCCCGTGGACCTTGCAGAGAACCCTACGTACACACGTGCACACACACACACACACACTCACACGCACACACACACTCACACACACACGCACACTCACACGCACAGACAGGAGCTTTAGCCGCTGCGCCTCACCTGCCCCAGCTGGGGTGGCCTTCACCTTCCAGGACACATCGGGTGGTGTCGGTTCCGGTGGCGCCAACCGGCTTCTAAGGCAGGATGTGTGGCAGGGTCCAGTGCCAGCCAGTGACCCAAAGCGCAGCCTCAGGAAATTGAGCTCAGTGCCCACCGGGGCAGAGCAAGGTGAAAGGGTTCCCACAACACGCCTCCCTGCCGGTCTCCCAGCGTTCAGCAGCCCCTCCACCCACCCAGGAAGCAGTGACACTGGGAGCGCTGGGCAGAAATGGTGCCACCACTTGGAGAATGCACACGGGGAACGGTCTCCCTTTTAAAGGGAGTCAGGAGCTGTCGGGTTGCTCAGAGGCGGCGGGAACCAACATTCCCAGCGCCCAGGGCAGACCCGGCAATGAAGCAGATGTTTCAGACTCCGAGACAGGGACCTGGAAAACGGGGGCTCACGCTTCCTGATGCTCAGTACCTTCCCCCGTCCTGCCCGAGGCAGGTGATGCCAGGAGAGCTGGCCCACCAGCAGCCTCAAGACCTGGTCTCCCTCCTGGGGTTCCCACGAGCTCTGCAGAGAGCACCCGCTGCAGGCACCCAACAGTGCCCTGAGGACTGCTGTCATGGCTTGGGGAGCCACAGGCCCCCTGCACACCTGGCGCCAGCCCTCAGGCCAGTGTAGCTCCGTGGCCATCGGCCTTCACCCCGTTTGGGGATGTGCAGGGTTGGGCTGGACTGTGCAGACGCCCGCTCTGGGGTGTTTCTGCTGGGACCAGGTAGCTCCTAGGGACCGAGGGGGGCCTGGTGTAAGCTGCTGTGATGGCACTTGTTGCTGCTGATAAAATCCATCGAGTGCAAGATTTGTCTCCACATTGAGGGCTGAGTCCTCTGCCCATTCCTTCCGGAAGGTGTTCCTGCCGTAGTGCCCGGGTTTGCCCCCAGCCTGAGTGTCCCCAGGTGCCCAGCTCCACACGGCTCTAGTCCTAGCTGGTCTAGATCTGGGGGTCCAAGGGAGGTCTTATCCCAACAGTCAGAGGCAGCCAGAGTCCTCAGGGCTCTCAGAGGCCCCTGTGGTCACTCACCAGGAAGCCCCTGCCCCTCAGGGACTGTGGTCCCTGGTTTGGCCTCATTTAGAAGGAGGAAGCCTCAGCTGTGATACCGGTGGTACCTGGCCCGTCCTGGGGACCAGCTGCACCCTCCCTTTGCAGAGCATGGGGTGGGGCAGGAACTGGTGGGAACTGGCCGCCACCCTAGGTAGAAGTGGAATGACCACAATAAGGCACACTCTTCCACAGGCCCCTTCTCCTTCCGTGGTGTTGGTCTCTACTGGCCACGGAGACAATGCCCTAGCTGGTGAGATGTGCCCATGGGAACCTGGGCAGGGGTGCAGACCCCTTTCTGCACATGTAGGACACCTCCCAGCTGCCTTACGTGCCACCCCTGCCATGAGCACCATCCCCCCCCTTCCCCCGTGAGTTGAGGTCAGAGGTGAGCAGGGCCTAGTCAGCCACATGGAGATGAGCAGGGGGCCTGGGGAAGCCCCTGTCTGCCACTTCAAGGGCTCAGCAGAAGCACACACGCACACACACACACACACACACACACACACACACGCACACACCACCCCTTACCTGGCCCTGGCTCAAGGGCGAGGGCAGCCCGGCCTCCCTTCTCCTACTCCGGTCCCTCCTCAGTGTCGAGGAGTGTGGGCATCCCTGCGGGTGGAGGGACAGCTTCCCCAGGAGAACAGGCAGGGAGCCTGGGCACCCCCCGCCCAGCTGCCTCCTCCTCCCCGACCATCCTTTCCTGGAGCTGGGGTGATGGTGATGGGGTGGGGGGTGGGAGGACACTGGAAGGCTGGGAGGGGTCTGTGCTGTGCTCATCCTTCTCTAAGGTCAGAAATAACACCTTCTCACCTCGCTTTCCCTTCCTCCCGTCCCGAATCTTGCAGAGATCCCCGTGGCGCCGCCCACCACTGCAGCCAGCAGCGTGGAGGAGCCGGAAGGTAGGCTGGCCCCCTCTGCTCATCTTTTTGGGAGGGGTGGGTAGGGACAGGGGTTAGAGGGGCCAGAATCCTCCCAACCACCATCAGGGCGCTCCTTGGCATGAGTGGTTCCCGGGCTGGACTGAGGAGGATGGAGCCCCAGGGCATTTTTCTGGGAGCCCCCACTCCAAGAATAAAAGAGAGGGGTTTGTCCCTGCCTGTGGCTAGCCTCTCTCCACGCCCAGGACGCTCACAGCGGCTCCTCTTGTTCATCCACCAAGTTAGGAAGCGGCCTGAGCCCAGCACCATCCGAGGGGCCGCGCAACCCCTTCCGGGGGCTGCAGAAGGTGCGGGAAGGAGGTGGCAATGCCTTCCTGAGCAGCAGAACAGAACATGGGCCGCACACAGACATCGGGGTGGGGGACAGGGAGCGGGACAGGGAGAGAACCACACGCCACTGTCCTCTCCTCTCGCTGAACGTGAGCATGTCCTCGGTTGCAAAGGTGGCCATGAACCATGGCAGGGTCAGCAGCCCGGTGACCTGGGCGCCAGCAGAAGTCACAGGTGTTTCCCCATCCCATCGAGTGGGTGCAGGTATCCCAGAATGCCGTTCAGGTCACTGTCGCTTCAAACTTACGGGAGCCGCCAGGCCTGCTGCTGCCTCCTGACCTGTTAATAACGAAGCGGTACTGTGAGGGGCTGCAGTCAACCTCGGGTTTTGAACGTGCTTGGATAAGGTGTTTTAGTGTGTTCGTTTCCGTTGTAATGTCGACAAAAGAACGTCCAGCCCAAGAAAAAGTCTTAGAGGAGTGGACTGGAGCCAAACTGACCACATTTGCCGGGAATGGCAGCTTTACAGCTTCCTTTATACATTGCAATCAAAGGAGGAGGTGTAAGGGGTTACATGAAGCCCATTGGTGGTACATTAAAGGGACAAGAGAAAGCAGAGTGGGGACTGTCTGGGACTGGATAAAAAGTGAAATGGAGAGACACTGCTTTTCATTGGCGGGTGCGGGATAGTTAGTAGTTAGCACTTACAGCAGCAGGTGGAGATGGTATCGGGGGACAAGATAGCAATGTGGGGTCTGGTAGGTGGTGTGCCCCGCGGGGTCTGGAAAAGGAGGTTACTCTGACATTTCCGAGGGATGTTATCGTAGATGCAGAAAGACAGGCAGGCTCAGCTAAGGTAAAGAGCGACCTTTGTCAGGGGAGCTACAGGCCTGGGACGCAGCCACCTGCCACGCCCGCTTTGAGTTGGGAATTGTATGTTCAGACCTTCCTGTGTGGCTACTTTCCGTCTCTGAGTCTGCCCCCCATGCAGGGCCCTGAAGGTGTCAGGGTTAGTATGTGGCCCCTTTCCCATCCGCAGTAGTCCCGTGTGTTTTATTTTTGTATTTGGAGATAATACTGTGAATGGTTGTCACCAGCCCTCGGCACAAGAGAGGTTACATGGGGATCAGCTGGCTGGATGGGGCGCCACGCGGAGAGCAGCCAGGCTTGTACCCAGCGTCCTGGGGTCACATGGGCCTTTCGTGTACTGGCACTTGGAGTAGGCGTGGGAATGGGGGGCCCATGTGGACATCAGTGTCAGCTCTGGGACCCCCTTCCTCCTCTCCAGGGAGGACTGTAAGGAGGTGTGGGGGAGGCTTGCACACCCACGTGGTTGCCTGAATGTCTTAGAACAAAGACTAGACTGGAGTGTTGACCGTACGCTGGGAACTGAGAGAGAATGTTTCAAACTCGCCTATGTGCACAGTCAACGAACAGCCCCCAGAGAGGAGCGGACAGAGGGCGTTTCAGGGAGTGCCAGGGTCACACTGGGAAAGCCAGGGATGTTGCTCTTGGGAAATTGGGTAGAGTTGTCTGTCACCTTTGGTCGAGCTGCAAGGGACACTCACGGGAAAAACTGCAGGAGGAAGCAGCTCGGGCCTGGGAGGCCGAGGCAGGAGCCGGCGTGAGGCTGCGGAAGGCCTTTCTGGCCCGATTCAAAGGCACATCCCATCCAGCGCTGGGCAGCACCTGGGCAAGCAGACGCCGCCACTCACTGGAGTCCTGGCTCCTGCTGCGGTGATGTGGCCTCAGCCGCTCCGAGCTCACCTGGCCCCGCCCCTGGGGCTGTGCACCCAGCTAGGCCGCGGCAGACCGGCACCTCGCTCTTGCCTCCCATTTTCCCAGTCCCTGCAGCGGTTTTGGCGTTTGCCCTTGCAAATCAGAAATGGGCAAATGGGGAAAAAATAGAGGGAAAAAGAAAAACGACTCCCGAGATTTCTGTGCCGGCCAGGAAGCTGGAGTAAAGCAAGTGAGGATCTTCACTGGACCAGACGAGAAACCCGAGCAAGTACTTACAGACACGGGCTCTGTAAGCTCCTTTAGAGTCCCCTCCTGCAGCTCTTGGTTAGTCAGTTGCCTCTCTGTCTCCTCTTGTTTTTGTTGCTGTTTATTTCTTTTCTTCCTCCTGAACCTTTAAAAAACATGTTGGAAATGGAAGCCACCAGTAAACACCCTTTACAAAGCGCTTTGCTCACCGAGGGGCTGAGCGAGCAGGTGTGATCCTCATGCTGTGACCAGACCCCTCGCACCTTCTCTGGTGGTCTTGGATGCCCAGGATCTGGTGCTCGCACCCAAGGCCCAGGGTCGTGCCCGGGCCTTGGGCACTGGGCCTGCCATGCACGGCTGCCTTGTCTCGGTGGGCGGGACGGTGTGGGCAGGGGGCCAGGGGGCCCCTGGGGAGCGGGCCTGGAGCACAGCACTCCCAAGCCTGTCAGTTCTTGCAGTGTTTGAATAGGGAAGGCCCGTGTGCCAGGCTGCCGGAGAAAAGCTTATTTACTTTTGCCTGCGTAACAGAGGAGAATTAATACACTGAGAATTCGTCCAGAAAGCTGATGGACATAACCTCACGCTGAACCTGCCCCCCGGCCAGGCCAGCTCACGTAGGGAATGCTGTCCACTGCTGTCTGAGCGGCCGGGGCCCCGTCATGGGGCAGGAGGCAGGAATACCATGCTCGTGGGAGGTCTGGGCCGGGGCCCAGGAGGGCAGTGGGCTGGGGGGCAGAGAGGAACCCCCATTCCAAACCCCCCCATTCTAAACCCCCCCCATCCTCTGGGCTGAAAGAGGGCCCGCCCTCCCTCGGCCGCCATCACCTCTGTGTAGGTGTTGATCGCGGGTCTTTTGGCTTCGTGGAGGCCACTTGGCTCAGCGGGATGAGTCCAGTTTGGTCCGGGGGCTCTGGGGTTGTTTCTCCGCTGGCTGAGAGGCCTTGGACGTGCAAAGACTTCTTTTTTCTGCCCCCTGTCCCCCGCCCCCTGGGGTTGAGGTCGGGGGGAGCTTTCTTCTCAGGGTAGGAATGGCCTTCTTTCTCCTGGTGAGTTTTCTTCCTCTGCAGAAACGCTTGCTCTCTCTCCTCTGCCTCTGATGGTCAGTCCTGCAGCCCCTTGCTGAGGTCTCCGCGGGCAGAGGCGCTGGTGAATAGTTAGACCTGGCTGGGGGAGAGTCTGACGTCTGGCATTTGCCACTTCCCCTGGTGCAAACACTCCCGGGTGGCTGGTTGCAGACACCCCCTCTGATGTCACTGAACGCACAGGTGGGAAGAGATGCGTACGATGGGCTCTCGGAGCCCAGGTGAGCTGACTCCACCCGGCACTGCCTGCGGGCTCCCCCGGAATGGAGTGTAGGTGTAGGAACACAGAAGTACAGAGGGAGGAAGGGCCGCCTCTCAGCCGGGCGAGAGGCTGTGGTCTTTCACTGGCTTCCCTGGTGTGAAGGGGCACTGCTGTCTCCTGGTTGGAGGCTGGACTTGGGATGGAGGTGCAAGAGCAAGGAGCCGACTCCTGGGCCCCCCTCCCCACAGGGTCTCGGTCCTCTCTGGGCCTGGTCTCCTCATGGCACTTGCCTATTTCGTGTGGCGTCTCCTGTGACCTGCTTCCATGGCCCCAGCCTCGGGGCAGTCACCTGAGAGTCGTCACTCCTGGCGGCCTCTTAGCGCCTCCATTTTTTCATGAAAGAAACTTGGGTTTATAGAGACCTGCAGCCTGGAGCAGCTTGGACTGTCCTGTTAGGCTCATTTTCCAGGACAGGGAATAGGTGATGAGGAGGGAATGTGAGCTGACAAGACTGGGGTGCAGCCTTCCCAGGTGTGGGGGGCCAGACGGAAAGGAGAGGACACCGGGTGGGAGCCCCAGACCCCAGTTCTGCTCGTCTTGTTTCCTTCTCTGGAAACAGGGTAGTTCACGGAACGGGATGATGCAGATAAAGCTGTGGACTCGGTGGTGGGCTTGTACATGCCCAGTGTCAGCCCAGCGGAAGCGCCCGGGAAGCAGACACCACAGAGCGTGGAGGGCTCGCACGGCGTTGAGGTGTCCGCGGGCTCCGTGGTGGGAAGGCAGGGTGGGCAGCAGGGGGTGCGGCCCGAGGACGGGGTGCCGGGCCCGCTAAGTGGAAACTGCTGGTGGCCTCGCCACGTCCTTCCCAGCGGCCGGTGTTGGACCCTGAACCCAGCAGAGTTGGAGCCTGGAAATCGATTACTATGGCTTAACTAATCGTTAAACTGTTTATGACGAGAAACCTCAGAGGAGCAGAGAGAATGGTGGTGGGTACCCGTGCCCGTCACCTACACTTCACCATGGACATTTTGTCCCATCTGCTTCAGCAATTTCTTCTGCTGAAATATTTTAAGAGAAAAGCTGCCGTGGGACATTTGACCCCTAAATCGTTGGGAATGCCATCTCTGGGAATATTCTCCGCACCTACTCAGTAGCGTCCTTACGCCCAACAAAGCGGTCCACGCTTTACTACCATCTGACCCCAGTCCATCTTTCTTATCCCCCGAGTGTCTGTTGGAGCTGGTTTGCTCGGCGCTTTAATTACTGAAGCATCATGCAGGCACGTGCTTCTCAGAGCGTTATATTTAGAAGCGCATCTGGGTCCCCAGGCGTGGGCCGCTTTTGAGGGTGTGATGCACGTGGAGTGGCGTGTCAAGTGAAACGTGCTGCCCACATGTTACACGTCATCATCATTCATCTCA